TAGAATTCTCTCTTCAAAGACCACCTTGATGGAGTCAAGGACAATCATTTGAAGGTGGAGGATGGATTTGATTATGCCCTAGCTGTTAATTATGTTCTCTATCCCCTCAATTTCACTTTTGATTACTTTCCTTTAATTACTCCCCATCGGATTAGGCGAGCGCGCGCGCACTTTTTCATTCCGCTCACCATATATGCTTAAAAAAGAATTCACTTTTGGCGAAATAATGCGAAATTTTTCACTCTTTTCAATCTAAATAACATTAAAATTACATTTTAGAACCATGAGATGCCATATAATTACATTTATATCTCGACATCGCTATACCATCTCTTTTATTCATCTTCCTGCGAAGCGAATTCAGCTAAATTAGTGTTCGAACATATGTTTGTATGATCTTACAGACAGATCAGTTGAATGGTCATGAAAAATTCAGAATTCTTCTGGACGGTGCAAAAGGCGAAAACTCAGGATGGTGGGAGATAGAATGAGAAATTGACATTGGTTTTGAATATCCCCACATTACAAAGGCTCGTGCCTTTTTATCAATTTCACTGTGAGACAATGACCTGACGTTAGATTCAAATTCAAGAGTGCTCCTTTGAATGTGTAGTGTACGTTATAATTGAAAGAGAAGGACTGATGAATAGCTGGTTTTTTGTTATTTTGTATTCGTCTTGTATTCACATTATTATTTTTTAGGTGCGAGAAAATAAAACTTAAAAATATTGTAAAAATACACGTGAGTACGTGATTCATATCTATCATAATATATAATGATAAAAGAGGTTCCTATGTTTGAAGAACTTAATCTTACATGTGCATCTTTCCTAAATTTCCTTATACTACTTATCTTAAATATAATGGGTGATTAAAGTTGGTAACTTCAGAAAATTCGGAGAAAACCCTAAACATTATTTTATTCTCTTATAATTTATTTTTTTGGGGCCAAAATTGGATAAAATTTTTTACTTGCTTATTAATTCTTCACTAGTTTTAAGCATTACTGTTTTTTCTTTGCTCTCTTTCTAATAACAAGAAAATAATTTATCTTTCCTACTAATATATGAAAGATTTTATTTGGTTAGCATAGAAAATAATTTATCACGACTCTGGCGAAAACATAAAAGATAAAAATCGTAAAAGATGGCCGCTGTTGGATCTTTTTTCTTATATTGCAGACTGAAGTTGCTCCCACCAATCTCATCGTGCCTAATATGCATATTTATATGTGCCAGTTGCACTCATGAATGCGTATAGCTCTTGAACTTAATCGAAAACCTAATCAAGAAGAACATGAATTTATCCAAATGGGTACTCACCGAACTCTGACCCAAAACATGGAATGATTACAAGAAAGTCAAATCACTTTCTGGTGAGCTTTGTTGTTCGTTAAGAGTCTGGTATACGATAATGTAATTAAACTGAAGGAACGGATAACCCGTCCTTAGTTCTTCTAAGCACAAGAGTAAGTGAAAAGGTCATTGACCTAAGAAAAGAGCAAAAACAAAACAACTTCGAGAAGATAGAGGCAGATACCAGAAAAAGAGAGAGGAACTGTGGCAGAAACCACAAATGACGCAACGGAGAAAGCTACTTCAACTCCAAATTGGATCGTTACTCGTTTTTATGATCAATCACGACGTATAATACGATAATAAAGCTTTATGATTGATATTGTATGTCGATTGGTTTATGATCTGATGGATGATGGGATTTGAAGGATCCTGATTAAGTGAACGTGCGTGCGTCTTGATTTCAAAGGCGCTAAGAACGGGTGAAGCATATGACTTTCAGACGTCGAGAATGTGCATTTTAGACTTCTCTGTCTTTATCATTTGACAAAGCCACGTAAACCCTAAAAAAGAAAGATTATTCAATCATGAATCATCCATTTTGGTCCCTCAACTTTACCCGTGTCGACCAATACGACACAAATTGAAACGGGCAATCGAAAGAGAGAGATTCACAATTAGGGTTAAGGTATTCCACGCATTCAATTTTAGTTAGTTCTTTCTAAGGGTGAGCATAATTTTAGGGTAGAACGTGAAACTTAAGAACCGGACAATGAGAATCGGTCCAGTTCCAAGTTCCAAGGTATGCAGGGTAGGTTCTAGGTTTCAAAAATTGGGAAATTTGTTTCGACGAGTAAGTTTCAAGTTATAGCTAAGTAAAATCTAGAACCTAGAACTCGGAACAAGTTTTTGCGTTTTTCTTGGTGTGTATTTTCACGCGATCCTATGGTATTCCATGGCTTCCAATTATGAGTGTATAATCTGGAACCACTAATTTAAGCTTCCATTTTATGACCGAGACTTTTACTTTATTAATATTTCATATTTCTCATGTGTCTAAATATAAGTTATGATTAGTGGATGGTAGCAGCAAGTAGTGGTCATAAAATGTGATATTTAACTACAATCGTTCAATTAATAATACATGTGAAATTTGATAGATCTTAGAACCGATCCTGAAACCAGTGACAGGGTAAGTTCTAGGTTTCAGAGCATGCATGGTAAGTTTCGGGTTTCAAAAAATGAGGAACCTGTTCGAACGGCAAGTTTCAGATGGAACTTATAAGGAACCTGAAACTTCTGGAACCGCTCACTCCTAGTTCTATAGACACACGATGTTCAATATTCCTTTAGGACATTATTATCCTTTCAACTACTTGTGCATATATTTGTTACACTGGGGATGTTTCTCTATAGATCAAAAACAAATATGAAAATGAAGAGATGCCCGAAAGAAATATAAAGGAGAAAGTGTAAGAAAAAGGTTGTGGGGGTTGGGTTGGCAAATGGCCAAGCTCCTCATAATTCTCTGCTCCCTGGGGTCAGACAAGAGACCCCATTTCCCCCGTTGTCACAATATTGACCGTAGATGACTAAAGATATTTTTTCCCTCGAAATTTTTTTGAAAAAAACTAAAAGCTTCTTTTTTCAGTGATATAAATACTTATTTATTTATGGATCTGGAGTCACCTCACACCAAAACCACCACAGTTCTAGAGGCAACGACTGCCTTTTGGTCATTTTTGCCAAACAACTTGGATCCTCCAAAAGTCCTACTCGTCGATTTTGAAATGGTCTTGATGGTTGTTGATCCATCTTTTTCTAGGGCATGATGTTTGATATTTAGCAATTAATTTCCCGAGGGTCCTTTTCTAGCTTATAATAGTCGAGGTTCACGCACTTTGTCTTATCTTCACATTATTACCGCATCGATAAAAGTCTTTTCGGTCAATGGAAGGAATTATAGTAGATGGTAAAGTAGACAAAGCAATTGGTGTACATAAGTGAGCAACGATCAATTATTGCAACTTTACTTTCACAAACGCAATAGTGTTCGGAAACATTCAAAATAGAGCCACCCTTTTGTTTCATCAACTTGGTTTATTTTCATTCGTGTCGATCAACGCGACATGTTCAACCGAGTGCACATTTCGCCGAGTGGTCGACAACTTGGGAATGGGGAGCTTGAGCGTAAGGTAACCCGGGTTTTGAATATCACGATCGAGATAAGGAAAAAGAAATTTACAAAATCAAGAAAAGCAAAAGCATCCCCTAAAAAAAGAAATAAAGGAATTTGCATCTCATAGGATAATACTTAGAAATAAACCGGGGCCTGCCATGGATCCTTGGTGTTGGTTACTGAGGGTACCTCACCATAGCAGGGATATTACTGCCGATTGGGACCGCCCAACCTGTCTAGGTGTATACACCTGGCGGGCTAATAATACCGTGCTTCTTATTTTAACATGTTAGTGTCTGCATGCATAGCCTCCGATTGAAGAGAAAGTTTTTATTTCCTCTCTTTAGGGAATACCTCTGAATTTTTAATGTCCCAGAGTTCAGGCGAAGCAGTTTTATTACATACTTAGATCCAAGAAAAGCAAAAGTATCCCCTAGAAAAAGAAATAAAGGAGTTTGCATCACATAATAGCCTTCCCGAAAACTAAAACAGGCATATCAACCCCAACTTCAAATAACAAAAAAAAACACAACCAAAACCAGACCCACAGGGCCAAACACAACAAACATAGTCCAAGCAAGGCAGATTATCACACCATCCCATACTATTATATTTATATGGTATGATGATCGATGAATTGATGATCTACTTCGTTATTAAAGTCTTTCCACAGCTAGAGTCGCTCATTAGTGGACAACGCTGCATGCTGGAGCGGCGTTAAATTGAAAAAAATTGGATTAGGTTCTTTTGTTTAAGCTGTAAAATAGGGAAAATTTCAAATGAGTACCCAAAGTGGGGTCATTTTCTCAAAAAGGGGTCCAAAGTGGACGTAGTACCAAATAAGAGCATGAAGTGCCCAATCAATCTCAAATAGGGGCGAAGTGCGATTAGTCTCAAGTAAGGGCTAAGTTTGTTGGCCAAATGCTCACCGGCCGTAAGTACGTCACTATTTCATGATCGGAACAAGGGTAATTTCGTCTTTTATTTTTTAAATTTTTGTTGTTTCTTTTTGGCATTTTTCTATTTTTTTCTTTTCCTTTTCCTTTTCTTCTTCTTTTTTCTTTCCTCTTTTTTCTTTCCTCTTTTCCCTCCGAAAAAAGTAGAAGAAAAGGAAAAGGAAAAGGAAAAGAAAAAAACAGAAAAGGAAAAAAGAAATAAAAAAATTAAAAAGTAAAAGACGAAATTACCCTTATTTCGATCATCGGAACAGTGACGTGCTTGCCGGCCAGTGAGCATTTGATCGGCCGCCGAACCCAAGCCCTTACTTAAGACTAATTAGGCACTTTGGGTCTCTATTTAAGATTGATTAGGCACTTCATGCCCTTATTTGATACTATGTCTATTTTAGACCCTCTTTTGAGAAAATGACCCAATTTTGAGTACTGATTTGAAATTTTTCCTGTAAAATATGATGAATAATTGGCTCTAACTTTCTTATTAGTCAATGAACGCCACCACAAAAAAAAATTCTGAAAATTTTCATTTAAACATCGAACGCTTCTGGTGTGTGGGATATGATCGAGGGTGGGGCTTTGTTTAGGAGGGAGAAAGATGTTCGGTGTTTAAGCATCTCGCGCTTTTATAAAGCCCCTTCCTCTCCGGGTGGTCCGCTGTTCAGTGTAGTGCAGAGCAGAGAGACAGCTTGTGTACAGTGGGTGTCTTGAGGCGTTTGGTTGGTGTGTATGGGATCTGCAAAATCGGTTAAGCTCGAGAGGACAAGAACACAGGGCATATATAGTTGCTGATAGGTTCTTGCTTGCCTCTGCATGTTGCATTAGTTCATGTTCTTTCTTCTGGTTTTTGTGCCTTTGCAGAGTTTGAGAAGGGCTGGTGTTTGCGAAGCCCCGTTTGCTTCTTTTTGCTTTCCTTTGCTTTTGTGAGGAATCTCCTCTTATATTGTTCTGGAGGTTTCTTGTCCTTTTTCCTACTCTGCCCAAGAATTTTGAACTTGCTTGCGGAGGTTGTCGTTAAGATTTACTACCTCTCTCTTTCTCTCTCTCTCTCTCTCTCTCTCTCTCTCTCTCTCTCTCTCTCTCTCTCTGTCTCTGTCTCTGAATTGGCTGGAAAATGTCTGTTTCGTCAATTGAAGACACTGTCCGTGTTTGGTGTCTCAGGAATTCTCTTTTATCTTCCTGCCCGTGTTTGGTAAGTCGACCTGTAAACTTTGGAGTTGATAAATTTTCCAGAGAAAATGGCGGTTTTTAAAGCTGTTTCAGGGCATTACGTTTTCTCATTGCTAAAACCAGACGGTGGTGGCGAGCGGATTTCCATGTGCTTGTTCATCAGAATCTCTTGAATCTCCCCTCCTTTGTCTTTTACTTCAAGGATCTCAAAGATTCCCAACACCCTTTGCTCACTTTGGTTTTGAATTTTTCGAGAAAACCACTGTTTCAATAGCATCAAGATTTATCATTATTAAGACTAAAAGAATGGATGATCCACACAGAAAATGGTCGCAGAAAAAGGCTACAACATTTGAGACCACAATCTGGGCTATCAAGATAGCACTGATCTGTCTAGGAATTGGGTCCTCCCTAATTCTGTTCAAGATTGCAGTGATCCCATACACATCAACCTTCCTCGTCTCCACTATCCCCTGCTTCTGGAGCTCCATCAAGGTCTTTTTCGCCCCACCTTACATTTATATCCTCCTGAACATCATTATCGCCGCCATTGTTGCTTCATCCACCTTCCACCACCAGAGCCAGATCATGAAACCTGTGAAAAGGGCTCTCCTCCACACCGAAAAGAGCCTGAATCTGAACTTCGGTTTCAAACGTGAAGAAGATGAAGCAGCAGTCTTTGAGGTCGTTGCTTCGCAAGATGCCACCAAAGAGTCCCATCGTCAAGATCAAGAATGGAAAAATATCACCTTTACTCAAAATCAAGAAAAACAAGAAGAAGTGATCAAGCCCATGGTGGTGGTGGCTTCTGTCGACAAGAACGTGGACCCATCAACGGAAACTTCCGACGACGAGGCTCTCTCGGGCAAATCCGGCAAGCTTACCGGGGAAACCGCCGGGGAAGAGAAGGTGGGCTCGCCGAAACCCGAAGAACCAGATGACTCGCTGGACTCTGTTTGGATGGCCATCATGGAGAGCCAGGGGAGGCGGGCGACGCGGCAGCTGAAGAAGAGCGATACGTGGGATTCACCGCCGAGGGTTGTTACGGCGGCTCGGGCGGAGGCCTTGCCGCCGCCGCCGACGGCACGTCCGTGTCGGCGCGAGCTGCGGAAGTCGGACACGTTCAGGGAGAGGGTGACGAATCACGACGAGTTGCACCGGCGAGCGGACGAGTTCATAAGGAAGACCAACAACGACCTGAGATTGCAGAGAGAAGAATCCAATCAGCGTTACATCGAGAGGGTGAACCGCGGGGTCTATTGACTGCAAGAGTTCTCCGGGATCAGTCTAATCAGAGTTTCGGGAGGTACATTACGAGTTTTTCAGTGCATCACAACATCGGGCGACCGTTATCAAGAACTTCAAGGCTTTGTAATGTTCATGTTGATAGTTTCCGTTTCTTCTGTTGCCTGTCATCTCTCTCTTTCTCTTTCTTTTCTTTTGGGTTTCATAGATAGCGCTAGTAATGTACTCTCGGTTGCAGCTTGTAATATGAATGAAGTCTCTTCTGTTGTCTGTTCTGTATCGTCTTGTCTGAAAATGATGAAGTTTTCTTCGTATTTTCTTGGTTCTTTTTCCGAGAAAAAGTTCGCAGACAGAGAGACTTTTGGTTTCCATGGCGCCTCTAATTTTGTTTGCTGTCACCTCCATGGACTTGATTGGGTCCTCAAGGAATCGTTCGGCTTTTGCATGTGTGTTTGCCAGTTGTATCCAATCAAAGCTCGAAATGGATCTGCTCATGCTCACTCCAACTCCGACATGATGAAGGCAAGTTGAAATGGAAGTCCATCTTTTGAATAATGTCATAGCGGGATGATCATTATCATTGCACGACAGTCGTGCGAATCTGCATTCTTGTGTTTTTTTTTTGGGCTTGGGACTTGGGAGTATATGAAATTAATTAAAGAGTGGGAAATTGAAACTAAATTAAACCAATTTCATTACCGGCTTACGGTTAAACGTGACTGCCCGATAATAAAAGTACGGTATTGTCTATCATTAAATCGCGATTTAGAGCTATGTCGTGAACAAACCCCTACTTAGCATTCGATTGCGAGGCCGTGGCAACGGGACAGCTCAATGGGCAATCGATTCTTTGTCGGCACCTTAAGTCGAACAATCTTGCGGCGGGTGAGTCGGGTCTAAACACTTTTTTTTTCCCTGAGCAAAATAGTTATGGGACTCCTTTAGTTGTCGTTGCTAAGCTAACATAAAAGAAAGAAAGCAGAACCTTGTTTTATTAGTTTTGTCTACTAAATGATTAATCAAAGGTGATTACAAAGTACCACCGATCTTCCAGAAAATAGGACTATGATTGAAATTTTACACGAACACGAGATTAATAGTAGTCATGCCAAATAATTCTTTGACCTAATCAACAATCATGGGCAGACGACTAGATCAAAAGCAGTAAATAGAGAATGTTCAAAGCCCGAAAGAACATGGAACATGGAATCGATTGCACCAGGCCTTAGCCGGTTTCTTCAAAATGCTTGTCATTTGCCAAGGCCCAGAATCACTTGCAAGCCGTAGGCTCATCCGCACTCAACCTTGAAACCATGTAACTCGTGTTAAGGACTAGGGAAGGAAGCGAGTACCCAGTTTATTCTGACTTCGAACTGGGGTAGCAATTCGTCTTCGTGGGTCGTGTTCATGTCGTATCGACTTAAGGCTATACTGCAAAACAGGTCGATCCGAATACGACAAACTTATCGTGCCGACCAACTTGACATGAACACGATCCGAAAATCAGTTGACACGAAACGATCCTTGAAATACGACTAAATAATGGGTTAATATAATACGACATTTTTTGTCCTTCTCGATCATATACCGAATTCCATTTTGACCTTACTAATATATAGGGGTGGCAAAATGGGTCATGGATCCGTATTTTATTTCTTACTTAATGGTTTGAGTGAAACATGGGTTGCCTATGATTTGGAATATACGTAGGGATGGGTCTAACAAACCAAAGACCAATCAATGATGGGTTCTAGTGGGCTTGGAACGAACCCACTTTCAACCCATTTAATCAAAAAGAAATGCTAAGGTCATCTTGCGCGCACTCTCTAAGGCTTCGTTCGTTTGGCGGAAAATATTCTTCTTTTGGAAAATATTTTCTCGAAAGTCATTTTCCTGGAAAATATTTTCCCGGAACATAATTTTCCGGTGTTCGGCGACCAATATGAAAAAGTTTCGGAAAATATTTTTCGCACGGCGAACGACGGCGGCGGGCGGCGGCGTCCGGGCGGCGGCGACCGGCGACGGCGGCGGCGACCGGCGGCGGCGGCCGCACCGGCGGCGGCGGCCGGTGACCGGCGGCAACGGCGGCGGCCGGCGACCTTAGTGAAGAAGAAGAAGAAGAAGCTCCGGAAAATGATTTTTGCTTTTGAAAAAGCGGAAGTCATTTTCCGTAGACTTAGGCTATTTTGTGAGGGGGGAAGGAAAATATTTTCCCACGGAAAACGTTTTCCGCCCCCCGAACACCGGAAAACCCGGAAAATATTTTCCGGGAGAATATTTTCCGCCAAACGAACGGAGCCTAAAACTCCTTTTGGTTTGTAGAAAATTTTCTATAGAAAAATACTTTTCTCGTTATCCATTATTTTGGATCACTCAATAAAGTAAGTCGACGGAAAATCTACACTAAAATTTAGGAATATACTTTGTCTTTTAAAAATAAAAAACAATTTTCAAAGTATAACTAGACATCGGTACTTGGGTACGAGAACCCCAATGCCTGTACTCCAGTCCTCAATAGCGTGGCCCCAATCCCATAAGTCGAGCTTGAGACACAAATGCCCATGCTTTTTAGGTCATTGCGGCCATGTCTATGTACCAGGCTTCCCCCTCCCTAAACAATAGCGCTTGGACCTCGATCCATTGAGACTGGGCTTGGGACTCTAGGTGGCCATTCCCAAGTACAGTGCCTGTGCCCGGATCCTTGGTGGCCTGGGTATCCAACTCCTGTGCCCAAGTCTCCTCCGAGTGGCCTAGGTCCATCAAGGTCTGGTCTGAGTCCACAAAGATTGGACCCGAGACTTAATGCCCATGCCTGAGTCATCGGCGGTCATGCATAAGTACCTTGCTTCCGCGCCCAAGTCACTGATGCTAAGGCCCGAGTCCTCCTAGGCTCGATTGCTCGATGACTGGGCCCAAGTCCACAAGGTGGGCCCAAGGCCTAGTGCACTACTTGAGTCATCGATCATGTTCCCAACTCTAGCGCCCAAGTCATCGGTGCTTGGGCCCGGGTCCATCAAGGTTGGGCCCTAGATCTTGGTGGCCATGTCAGGCACCTAGCTCTCATGCTCAAGTCATTGATGCTCAAGCTCGGGTCCATCGAGGTTGGGCTTAGCTCGGGTCCTCAACAATCCCTTAGAAATGAAGTGAGGGGTAAGAAGATCCACGAATTGAAGTAGAACGCCCAAGATTTCAAATGAACAAGTTCAAATTTGAACATGACCTTTCTAATTTTCGAAAGTTAGGGGCAAGAAGATTTCTGAAAAAACTCTACCCTCTGCTTCTTCTTTTGCTTCGTGCCTCTAGTTAATGTTAAAGCTTCACGAATCCTTTGTAACTATTTGGTTCACATCGAAGCTCCGTGAAAACAGCGAGAGAGTTGAAATTCTTTCTCCTTAGTAGGCCTCCCGTTTACATCGAAACTTTATAAAAGCAGCAAGAGAGTCAAAGTACTATACTTTTCATAATCACAAACGTGTATGATCATGTTTTCTCTCTTGTACTAGATTTGACATTCGCCGGCCGATTTATATCGTCGATGTCGTTGTAGCCCATTTATTTTTCTTGCCATAGTTGAACCTGTAGCCCAAGAATGATGTAACGAGATCATTTGTTATTTATACGTATAATACTCATGGATTGATTGTTGTAGGGTGTCTCCATTTGTGCATTGGTGGTTTTTTTAGCAGTTAATCGCAAGAAATTTTTATCATCTCCCTTTATGTATTTTGAGTTTATTTATATTGATATGCAGTTCCTACTAAATAATAGACATATACAAATATATCCGATTTTATTACTGTAATTTACCGAACGGTAAATAAGATATAGCAAAACTCGTGAATTTTATATCCTCGCTAAGCTAGTCTTATTTTTACTAGAAAATCATATGACCAAACACAAAGGTTAGCAACCTGGGGACTGACCTCTGCCCCGATGTGTTGGCGAATATTGGAAGAAACAATGATACTGCTAATTAAGCCTATGCATCTGTTCTTGGAGACGTCCCTGGTGTTTTCAACCGCGACCTCAACGGTCGTTTTCTTTGTCGGAATCTAATCTGTGATTTGGGGGCTAGCTAATACCCCTGTACTTGAAGTCTATCTAGTCATAAATGCAGGGTGAATTCCCTAAATACACTGTCAACTATAGATCGAGTCTCAAATTTACTCCGAACTTTTTTTATCTTAGAAAAAATCTTAAACTTTAGGTCCAATCCCAAATCTGTCCTTAACTTTTTTTTATCTCAGAAAAAACCCAAAACTTTAAGTTGAATCCCAAATCTACCCCAAATTTTATTTTGTGAAAAAAAAATTAGCAAATTTCAATTTATTTTCAAAAATATACCCTCGTGATCCAGTCTCAACTTGACGTGGCACTTCCACGTCGATAGCAAATGCACATTAGCAAAGTAATGGGGCGATATGTACAGATCAACGTCGCATTTCCACTTCAATAACAAATCCAACCCAATAAAAATTATTCAAATTCTCCAAAATAAAACCGTTCTAGGATATGAAAATAAGGGACGATAACAATCCACCCCAAAAAAAATTTTTAATTTAAAAAAAACCTAATTTTTAGGTTCAGTCCAAATTTGCCTCGAACTTTTCTTTGTCTAAAAAAAAGGTCCCATTACTTTGTCTATGTGGATTTGTTATCGATGTGGAAGTTTCATATTAAGTTGAGACTGGATCACGGGGTGTATTTTTGAAGATAAATTAAATTCTGGTGATTTTTCTTATACAAAACAAAATTTGGGGCATATTTGGGACTAGAATTAAAGTTTGGGGTTTTTTCTATGACAAAAAAAAGTTCATGGCAGATTTGGGACTGGACGTAAAGTTTGAGGTTTTTTCTGAGACAAAAAAAAGTTTAGGATTTTTTTTTAGATAAAAAAAAGTTTAGGACAGATTTGGGACTTGACTCAAAGTTTAAGGTTTCTTAGGGAAATAGGCCTATAAATGCATAGTGTGTTGTCAAAAACACAAATAACTTAAAAGACAACGTTGTCTCATGAGTTATGTTGATATAATAGTTTTTGGGCTGCTGTAAGTAATAATATATTGTGAGTCATAAATTTTTGAAGGAATAAACTCCATAATAATTTATTATTTATTATTTTAATAATTTATAATATATTGTTAATCTCACAATAAGTTAATCATTTCTTTTTAATGCCCATTATATTCTCCACAAAATCTTCAATTATATCGCCACACGTCATCATCATGAGCGTCCATTAAAACCGTTCTTTGTATCGTAATAGAGATACTCGAACATGTGTACATACTACATGACATTAAGCAAAAATGAAATCCAGAAGGGCTGAAGGAAGAGTCAAACACATGTGTGGCCGTGGATTTTACAGACTGTCATTGAATCATAATAGTTGCTTGCTTTCTTCCAGTCATCTGCAAAATTGTCTGCTCGAAGCTAGAAACAAAAGAAAATCTAAGCAATAGATTTCATTTAAGCTGTGAAAATGACAGCACACGATGCTAATGGTATATAAATTCGAGTGCATAAATGGAACTGTCTCCGGACAGACCTATGGCTACTGAAGTCCTCTCTCTCTCACTCTCTCTGTCTGATTTTCCCTCTTGAGCAAGGAGGCAAAGCTTCGAAAATGAAAAGGAGCAGCAGCCCTGTCCGAATCTGACAAAAAGCCGCGTGACTCGGTCTCTCATATCCAAAAGATTGTCTTCCTTCTCCTCCTCCTTCGTCTCTCTCCCTCTCTGTCTCTCTTCTCTCCACCACGCTCGCTCGCTGGCTCGTTCGTAAGCCCCAGAGAACATGTCCTTGACGCTCTTTCAACAGCGGACTTCACAACTGTGAGTTTCTTTTTCTTTTCAAGAGCCACTCCACAGTTCTTCGGTCTTTCAAACTTGCTTATTCTCGTGCGGTCATATGCCGGGCGAAAGATGTCAGATGGGTTTTCTTGTTTCTTTTCCTCGTTGCGTCTTGCATCTTCTTTTCTTCTCCGTTCGAAGAACGGAAGGACTGGGTCGTCGACTGCAAGGAAAGAAGGGAATGAACGGAACAGAACCATGATAACATTTTAGTCATGCCAGTCTTTCAGGAATACAGGAACGTCAAGTCGAAGAAAGAGTTTAGTTTAATCTAGTTTAATAGTCTGAGGAGAGAGAGGGAGAGAGATATGGGACAAGACAGGTTAAGGTTTCTTGTTTTCTTTCTGTTTTCCTTCTGTGTTTACAGAGTATGAAAATTATTGCGTGGGGATGTGAGAAGGAACTGTTTCAACGCCGTGAATGTTCAGGGTTTTGCATTTTGGCCAAAATTTAACCCCCTCCCCCGCTCTCTCGAGATCTGCGTCGTCTTCTTCCCTCATCACACGTACAAACACAAACGTCTCTTTGACAAGCTTTCCCATTTACGCATGTCTGCATTGTGTGGGACGCTGTCTCCATCGTAGTTGTACGGTCTTTTCCTTGAGACCTCATTTATTGCCCTCTTCTTGAAAAGGACTAGACATTGGAAACCGTAGAGTGGTGGACCTGCGGAGGGAAAGCAAATAGTGAGACTATGATTTTCTTGGCAAAAATTGAATTTTTTTTGTTGGGTTGATGTGGTACGTCGTCTGTTGAAAGAGTTTGAACTTTGGACAGCATTTAAAATGCGATCTTATGGTGGATATGGGTGTCTTTGGTTGAAGGGATTTGAATAGGGTGGGTCCTTACGGGGTCCAGCAGAGAGAGATGATGAAGCAGCTGGACAAGGAAGAGGAGAGAGAAAGAGAGAGCGGCATTGGTGTTCTTTGTGCCATTTCCAAGACGCCGATGCAGTCGTCTCCTTCTTCTTCATGGCCCTCAAGAAGCTCCAACAGGACCAACACCACAACCCCTACCCCCATACCTTCATGGCTCCTCTCTTCCATTGCAGGTAACTTCGACTGGTCCCCATTGAAACTTTGACGCAAAGCCCATGTTCATTTTCACATGTTTGGAAGATGAAAATCACAGGCGTTGTTGCAGTGTCCATTGTTCATGCAAGTATCGGTCTCTCTCTCTCTCTCTCTCTCTCGGTTTTAATTTTGAAATGCTTTTTGGTCTCTCGAGCTGGCTTTTTCAGGACGTTCGGAGAGTTGATTAGCGTCTCTCCAAAAGCCATATCTAAGGAACCAAATGATTTCAAAATGGCCAACTTTGCGAACTGAAACTGCCTCATGAAATCTGAGGAAAGTAAAAGGCGACAATTGCTTGGTACTTGGAAGAGATTTGCATGTGTTAACCTTCTCTCCTTATTAGGCCCTACATAAAGTGCAATTGCTGCTAAAAGCGTATCCTCTTAGGTTTGTCAAACTTAATTTGAAATTATTGCTTTTGCAGAAAGCATAATCATTTCGTAAAGGCTGAACTACTTTTGAAGTCGGTTGACTTATCCAAGAAGCTCCTTTAATATGAACTTCCTTGTAGCTTACTTCTTTCTAAGTCATACTTAAGAATTTCGCAGTCACGAAGAGCTTGAACTGAAATCAAGAGATTAATTAGTTAACTAATTAATCCCACTTATAAATAACCTAACTTTTGAACATGAATTATATATATAAAGGAGCTTTTGAGTAGGACAAGATGAATGAATTACTGTAGTGTGCATGGACGTAGGAGGCTACCTTATCAGTTAGGTCTCATGATGGGTTTCTTTCCTACTGCGACCGTGTCTTCTTCTGTGTCAGTGTCTCGTCCCTCTTTTCTGTTCATGCATAATAAGCCCCACTCCCTTGTGTTTTTGAAATTTGAAACCATAGGCAGAAAAAGAAAAAAAAAAGAGAAGAATCTGTTTCTCTTTCTTTGCTTGCCTGCTTTGCTTTGCTTTGCTTGCTTGCTTGCTTCGCTTTCCAAAGGATCGTTTCGTTGGGATACGTTGACGGCGACCTTTCTTCAATGTAGTTCGATTTCGAATCTCGGAATTTGGATCTGAAAAGAAGAATTTCGATGCAAAAATGGTGGAAAGTAATGGACCAGGACAAGGTTGTAATAAATGCCCGCCTGTACCCTGGAGGCAAAAATGGTTGGCCTTGATTTTACGGTCCTAGGCATATTTGACTTGTGGACTCGAACTGACAAGAGCGAAGGACCAAAATCAAAAATGAAAATTTAGGGGCTTAAATCTTCAGTTCCTAGTGATTCATTTCCGAATAGTAGAAAGTTCAAGTTTTCGGGATTATTGAGGCAACAACAAGAATAAAAAAGAGATAGTTCCTTACGAAATCAAAGAGATGCAATGTTGATCTGAAAATTCAGAACTCTTTTGGTGCATTTAGCAATAGCTCAAAGATGGAAATGAAATTTCATTTTTGGTTCTGTACAGAGCATCGAATTATTTCACTCCTATCATGGTGCTGTACTGCCGCATCTTCAGGAATTTGTCCTTATTTGACTAATTATTGAGTCCTCTGATAGCACAATACAGCAGCTGTAGCATGTAGTGCCCATATGTTCTCTACATTAGGAGACATGGCATGAGACATTTCTCATTATTGCTTCTGAACTTCATTTGATGATTTGAACAGGATAGACTGGGTTAAGATATAATTTTTTAGGTTGATTTTTTAACTTTAATGTTGATTATAATTGTCAATCAGAAGTCTCGCGTGTCTCAAACGATTAAGTTTGCAGTAGGGTCACATTACGTTCTCTGTTCTGACTTGGAGCTTTATACTGTTGTAGATCTAGATGAAAAAATGAAGGCTGCGCTCGGGAACACTGACGAGGATGGAAGCGGCGATACGCTGGCAAAACGCGCCGAATCATACTACCAGAAGCGCCCTCAGCTCATCGCTCTGCTTCAGGATTTGTACAAGTCCTATCTCTACCTATCTGATCGTTACATCCAAGCCCTCTCCAAAAACAAGAATCACCCTCACTCCCGACAGTCCTCGCATGTGTCCGCCCTAACCGACCACGACTACTCCGAGAACGACAAGGAAGAGGACTGCTGGACGGTCCAGATCGATTCCTCGGATGCCGAGAGCTCGCTCTCGTACCAAAGTCTCCTTCCACTGGCCAATCTTGGCAATGTAGCGAGTCTCGATGCATTTGTAGCCGACCTTGTGGTCAAGAACGTGGAGTGCGACATCCTCCTGAATGAGGTCTCCATCTCCGAGCAACGATGCAACGACTCGTCGAGGAAGATTGAGCTGCAGAAGAGCCTTCTTGAGGTCCTAGAGTCTGAGAGGATGATATTGCTCCACGAGAACACAAGGTTGGGGTACAGAGTGAGCGCGCTAGTGGAGGAGAACCGCGAGCTGGTTTCGGAGTCGGTGTTTGTCAAGAGGAAGGCGGGCGAGTTGGCCCGGTGCATGATGAAGATGAGGGAGGACCAGAGGGTGCTGCTGCTGAGCCGCAAGATTGAGGACCTTCAGGGGCAGATATACGGATTGGAGAAGCGGAACAAGGAGTACTACGAGCAGCTCGTGAAGAGGGGTCAAGAGGATCATAAGATCGATGCTAAGAAGAAGAAGAATGACAGGGAAGTAACTTTGGAGTCTTGCCTTCCAATTGGGAAGCTCAAGTTGAAGAATAATGGCAATGAGAGCGTGAAGGGTGATGGCGGGAAGAGGGTGACCAAGTGGTGGGAGAGGGTGAAGAACATGGACATATTCATGTGTGGGATGCAGACAGATATTAGCTAAAGTCGATGCTCACCTTTTGCTATCTTTCTTCAGCTGAAGTAAGATGAACTATAGCATTATCTATTGAAGATGAACTATAGCATTATCAATAGTTCCAGACTTGCCCAGAATAATGTTTTGCTCTTCCTTTTTGTAGGTTGTTTGGATGGCAGAAACGTCGTTCTAACGTCTCCTCGTATAGTGCAAGAGACTTTTTTTTTGGTCGAAATAGTGCAAGAGACTTGGATAGTTGTCAAACTTGGGAAAAGTACAACCATGTTTAAGGTGTTTAATGTATCCGAGTGTAATACGGATGGTAGTTGTGAGGAATGCCTAATCTGCAGAAAACGTGGTTTCCAAGTTGGTTTGGAAATTCTCGGCGTGTAGTATTGTGACCAGTATTGTGACCGTAGATTGTTATATTTGAGAAGTTAAAGTATGCAAATCCGCATCGAGTAAAACAGAGCAACTTAACAGTTGAAACCTATGTGTTTCCAAATCCCGGTCAAGCATACAGACAGCCCGAAGGGTCATTTACTCAGATCAGCATGGAACTTGTGGTGCGGACGAGAAGGAGCATCCAATATGATTCGAGAAGTTCAAGCAAAGCTAGATTTTGTATGAAACCCCAACACCCACATAAAACTGCTGCTTACTTTATGATAACGTAAAACTCAGAGACCTGAAGGATCCGCATCTGAAGCGCCAATAATACATGATTTAGCCAGACAAATATTCAGCGATTTGAGTAAGAGAACTGCTCAGATTTCACAAGGCTCACGAGATTAAAACAATTCGTTGAAAGTAAAATGGAAAGACAGACGAGAGAAAATAAGGATTTTAATAGCACTACAAGTATTGAAATGACAATAATAATCCCTCTCTCTAGGAGGCCTGAGTCGCCTGACCCTCACCCTCTTCAGCGGCAGCCTCAAAGGTCTCGCCAGGTACAAGCTCAGGGACTTCGTCATCGTCGTCATCCTGCGCAGTGGCACCAGAACCAGTGGCCGCACCAGGCGCCTGCTTCTGGAATTGCTCTGCCAACTTCCTCAGGTTGTCCAAGTTATCAGGACCTGCATTATCTCCCCCAAGGAAAATTAAACATACACAGTCGCAAAGCAAATAAAACATCCATTAGTAAGAGAACACATGCATCACCTAATTGGTTAATGATGCCAGGGAGGATATCCTGTAGCTCTGCACGTATAAGGAATTCATGTCAAAACACATGTCAATACCATGTGTAAACTCTGGCATTTTCAAATCCCATTATTAACCAAGGAGAGAAGGAGAAATGCGTACTCTTGGTCTGAGGAGAACCACTAACTACCCAGGTATTTGCAGCAATGGACGCTTGAACTGCGTTTCCAAAGTAGAAAAATCATCACTCAATCCTAATGAAATATCATTCGAGTTTGCAATTTGAAAGGTATCTCACCTTTGGGATTCAAAAACTGGATAACTACATCATCCTTAAAAATGTTGACTTCTTCAATCGCAGGGATGGCATTCACCCCAATTCTCTTCAGGGTGCTTTGAAGCCTTTTATCATCTGTCGTGGTGGTCTTATGAACAGCCTTCTTCTTTCTGCAGTTGAGACCACCAAATGAGTAACGACAATCAGATGGCATCGGAACAGAGATCTTTATAACCAAGCCACAATTAAATGACAAATGCATGTTAGAAGTCCTATAAGGAAGGAAACCCTCACTTTCTATCTGTCAAAAAGAAAGGAGACCCTCTCTTCGTGTGACATACATAAAGTAGCATTTTATTAGGCTCATTTCAAAATTTCACGAAAACTTATAATCTGCCAAACGGATGTGAACATGCAAAGAAAATTGCCGTATGCTGATAGACCCAGATTAAGACACATCTAGGAACATCTGACTTATGAGTAGGACCGACTTCCAGACCTTCTCACGGTACCCTTTCCACCAGTGCGGACAGAACCCGCCATCTTCATAAGCCTCTCCCTATTCATCTGCATGGTAAAAAACGGCTAAGCAACAGTACAAACAACTTCAAAGCCAGAAACTCAGAAACACTCAAGGCATAATAGAAGTCGATAGAACTGTGGAAAGGACTGCACAAGAATCACCAAAAGACCAAGTACAGGATCACTGGACGACCAAAAAACCCAAATATAAAAGACGGAAAGAATAATGGCAATGCAGATTGTGAATTAAGATCTCAACTCCAACAGCATTCTCTTCCGAAAACCACTCTAGTCTGTCCAGTACATATGACGTCGTGCAATTTCCAGGACAAGTAATATATAACTGCCCAATCATTTCTTCAAAAGATGACACTGTTTCCCGTTGCTCAAATACTGGTTAGTAGTTTTCTTGACTGTCAACTAAGACGGAACACAAACTCTAGTTATTATCTCTACAGCCAAAAAAAAATGCAAGATAATCAGATCACAAAGAAGGGCCAATGTCAATCATGTTCTTTATGCGTAATTCAAACTTACTAAATCAGAAAATGCCCTGATAAAAAAAAAAAAAAAGACAGCAACCATGCCTCATTTATTTCTAACGAGGGTCGGCCACAGGGCCCACAACACTATCAATGACACATGCCAAAAAAAAACACATTGACACAGATAATAGATGAACAAATAAGACCAAAAGCAACAGAGACACCACGGTTAAGATAATCACCCCAAAGGTCAACCATAAATGAAGAATTTGAAACACTCAAACAAGGACCCACAACACAAAACCAAACTAAGCACAAATATAACCTACACAATTACGCATAACTTAAAACAAAAGACAACTATAAGAAAAGCCTCAAAGGCTCAAACACAATATCATAAAATGCTATAGCTAATAAGCTAACAATACTCTGCCTCTAACGGTAGAACACTAAAAACTTATAAAATAAAGCCAGATGAGGATAAAATGCAAAAACTTAAATATGTGAATTCTACATCATTTCAATTAAAAAAAAATGCCTAAGGTCTTAGACTAATCATACATAGCAACATTTGCAAAGGGACTGCTTTGACACAACAACAAATATATTGAACTTCTACCCGCTCTAAACATCACAGTATATACCGCCCTCGCTTTGACACTTTTAGAATGCTATCAATTGCTAACCAAATTATTCAGTCTCACAATGACTAAAACAAGTCATAATGGTCCCTACACCGAACTCTTCCTACTACTGAGCAACAGCAGCTGACTCCATGCCCACAAACAAAACCCACCTCAATTGCATCCATCCAACCAAGTTCAACCCACCCACTCAGCCACAAAACTTACAGAATATACAAGAGGGGACACGAGGCTAACCGCGTTACATTACCAGCTGAATTACTTTTTCTATTCTCATTTTCCAGACATTCACATTACACAATTAACCTGAGAAGGAAACATCTAATACTCGAGCCAGAGTGCTCATCTTTCTCCACGGCTTCCGCATCAACCAAACAAATGAGCAAGGCAAAGTGTTAGAAAGACACCGTCTAGAGCCTACACCACGATCCAAGACCAAACCCAGAAGACCCCATCTCTTAAAACCTCCAAAAAGCAAGGACAAGACAAACAGCAGCAGAAATGCAAGAAGATATTCCAACAAACCCAGCAATCAGAAGTTCCAACCCTAACCACAGATCAACTAACGGCTCAAAAAGATACTGCCCCACGACTCAAAGAATCGAGGGCAGAGTCAAGTTCGCGGTGGAGGAGATGGGTTTACCTCCGCTAGGGTTTTTGGGTCCGACTGAGGAAGAGCGGAGGGTTGGGGTTTTGGGGGAAGGAGAAGAAGAAGAAGAAGATAAGAGAAGAGCGAGAGAGCCCTCAGACGGCGCTCGCTATAATTTAAGGATTTTTGCCCTTCGCTTCCCCAAAGCCAAGGTTTTCCGACTGTTCCGCTTGATGTCCTTACCGCGATCGGACGGCCGAGACACGGCCTCGCGGGACACGTGTCCTGATCATGCGGGTCCTTGTGAGTTGGTGATTGCTTGCATAGATTTCGTAGGTATGTGCACTCGTTTTGTTAACATGAAAGAGTCATTTTGTTAAGATATAATTAATTATTCGTGTAATGGCAATTTAACCATTCTACTTACAAATTCGTGCGGATGAAATGAAAATCCCTAAGAAACAAATTATTACATATCTACGAAAATAATTCAGTCTCTCACACGTGCAATGTGTTGATATTCGTTTCGTTCGAAACGCGTGTTCTCTTATAAAATTCCCACTCGATACATTTTTTAAAGATATACGTAAATTCGAGCGCTTCACATCCGCGATCATATATGAATATTGTTATTAAAAAAATCATGCGAAAATTTTCGTAATTTCAATAAATATAAGGCTGATAACGTTCGTGTACTACTAATGGGGAAAATGACATAAAATGGTCCATAGATTGAAGACCGCGGGGATTTCCATCATCGCGTTGAGGGCCACTGTGAAGTAAAGATTGAAGTTGAGGTTCTCGACATTTAATTGAATGCCTAAGTAGACGAACCCGAGCCCGAAACCGGCTGACATTACCGGGATCATTCTTTGAGCAGCCCATTTGGTCCTCCACAGGCTCTCTTCTGGTTCAGCTGCCATTGATCCTCCTCCGCCCTCGTCTTTGCCGATCGTTTTCGAGGGAGACGGATTGGAAAGGACTAGATTTGAGGGCAGCTTGTTCCCATTGAGCCTTGCGAACTTCTTCAACACGTCGAGCACTTCTCCATCGCAGCCCTTGATGAGAGGCCAGCGCGGCAACTCGGAAACAAAAGGGACCAAGAGACAGCAATAGAGCAGGGGAAAGACGGATATTATCTTGTACAAGTCCCTCCAACAACTTCTCGTCGGATAAGCGATCAAGGGGAGAGAGAGGAACCCGACGGTGATGAAGAAGAAGCCATATTGCCCGACTTGCCCGCACCATTTGCGGCCGACAACTTCTGTGGAAAGGACAAGACAGTAAATGCCGATTCCCGATCGAGCGAAGCCATTGGTGAAGCGGAGGAAGGCATACGTCCATACATTAGGCGAAAGAGAGGTGAGGAAAGAGGTCAATGTCATCAAGCCGCAGGCAATCAGCACTGTTCTCTTCCGGCCTAGCCGCGCATCGGCCAAGTGGCCATAAACAGCAGATCCTGCGAACGAAAAACTGAATCGTGATTTGAAAGGAAACCCATGAGAAATGTACTTTTGAGTAGTGGCAAAGCATATGACTTTGTGAACATGTTCATCAATCAAATGTACCTAACAAAGAGCCGAGAAAGAAGAGAGAGATGGGTACGGCGGCGAGGAACTTGCGGTCGCAAATGAGACCCCATTCGGCGATCACCGAGCTGGTGTTGCCACCAGCCCACTCCCAAGTCCCTAGCTCGAATTGACAAACCGAAGTGAGGGTGCCTTCGTCTCCGCTGGCATCGATACACGAACCCGGCGATTTGCACCTCCAAGCCGACGGCTAGGCGTCTGTGAAGATCGTGACCAGTGCGCTCTGGGAGTCGAATATCCACGCGAGCGACACCAAGAACACGTGCAGCAGCTGTGAGAACCCGAGCGACCCGACGTACTCTTCCACGACTTCATCCATGGTTATCTCAAGCTTCGCAGGCGGCAGCGATGCGCTCTGTGCCAGGTTGATGTTCATGTTGATGTAGCTAGCAAGGATCATCTAGAGGGGGTGAATAGGTCATCTTAAATGATTTTGATCAATTTAAGCGAAAATGATTGATCACAGTTGAGTCTAAATAAAATTTAGATTCAAAACAATTTATATAGACAATGCTCTTGATGTGCAGTATGTAAAGAAAGAGATAAGGGATAGAAAAACTGCACACAAGTATATAGTGATTCGGCTTATAGCAAGCCTATGTTCACTCTCCCACGCTGACAATCTACTGGCTGGATTTCACAATGTAATCAAAAGGAATTACAGATTCTGAATGACAGCACTCTTGTGTATGATAGGACTCTCTATCTCACACAATCACTCTGACAAAGTGTCCATCAAGATCTTAATGTTTAGCTCAAGAAAGACAAGAGAAAGGATTGGAGTATGCTCAGACTTTGGACTTGTTGATTCTCGATTTCGTTCATTGCCTTCTGCTTCTCGTAGGTCTCCTTTTATACTCCTCCACTACCAAACTAACCGTTGGACAGTTTTCAGAGGATTATCTTCCAATCTTCATCTTGGACAAATTTGTATAAAATGGATTGAGTAGTCGTTGGTTGACAAAATCTGAATCCCGCTGATTCTGGTCGCCCATACAATCAGAATCTTGATTTCCATAAGTAGAGCTTTATCCGTTGTAATGCATACTTGTCATAATGTTTGATTGTCAATCAATTAGGCTGAGATTGAGTCAATCAAAACTTTCCTTTTGTGAAATGCATGCCAGATCACTAGCTATTGTGATTCGTTCCGAATGAGTTTTGCTTCTGCATCTGAAAAACTTCAGCGTCTGCGTCTGCATAATTTCTGCGTCCGAAGAATTTCTGATTCTTGCTTTACATTCAAAACCTGAGTCAGCGTAGGTGTTCAGTAAAATCTGAATCTTTCAAAATTAAAGTCTGAATGACTTTTATGGTAAAGTTTGAACTTCTTAATTCTGAGTTTGAACTTTTAGTTCTGAAAACTTGTAAAGTCTGATATTTCCTTCCGAACTTCCAGAATATATTAACCTGGAATGGAATGCATGTCAGATTCACAAGATAAATATAGAAAGTTTTGTCAGCTTCAAAATTTATTAGGAGTTTTCCTCAATAATCTCTCCATTTTTTATGGTGACATAACTTCCATGCAGATTCAATCAATGTCAAATAAATTTGAAGAAAATAATCATATTAATCGCATGAAACACAGATACAAAATAAACGTGCAAACTCTTAGGCTCCGTTCGTTTGGCGGAAAATATTCTCCTTTTGGAAAATATTTTCTCGGAAGTCATTTTCCTGGAAAATGTTTTCCGAACATAATTTTCCGGTGTTCGGTGATCAATATGAAAAAGTTTTGGAAAATATTTTTATTGCTGGCGGCCGACGGCGGCGCGCGGCGCGGCGCGCGGCGGCGGCAGCGGCGCAGCGGCGCCGCGACCTTAGTGAAGAAGAAGAAGAAGCTCCGGAAAATGATTTTCGCTTTTGAAGAAGCGGAAGTCATTTTCCATAGACTTAGGCTATTTTGTGAGGGGAAGGAAAATATTTTCCCACGGAAAACGTTTTGCCCAAACACTAAAACCCGGAAAATATTTTCAAGGAGAATATTTTTCCAAACGAACAGCCTTAAGATCTGTGTATTTCTCTTCCTTTGAGTATAACTCTGCATATTGAAATGTTAGTACGATAATATCTGCATAATCTCTCTCCCTTTTTGTCATCAGCAAAAAGAATAAAGCAATAATAAGCAGAATAATGCACTGATATGAACCATCCAAACAGTCTAACAGAGGCAAATGTTAAGAATACATAACCAGTTTGGAAATAAGAATGGTTTAAAAAGAGGGTATGAAAAGCAGGTTATTTCTTTGATGGGGTTCGAACAAGCTGAAAGTTCTCCAAGATAGAAACAGCTTCCTCAATCTTGGTAGAACATTGACCCATAGCTTTCTCCATATTTGTTGAACATAGAGCAATAGCTTCCACAATCTCTGCTTTGTCTTTTTTTGCCTGAAGACGTTGAGTCTGATTGTTTTCCTCAACAATTTTTTGAAGATTCTTCACGTCTTCTTTAAGTGCAGCTTGTTTCTCTTTTATTTCTAGCAGAAGGGTCAGAATGGTCATATTGTCTGAAATCTGTCCTTGAACATTTTTCGGTGCATGCTATTTAAACTTATCCCCTGTCTCTGTTGGAATCTCCCCCTGAAAATCTACCTGTCCTACAATAGTATTTTCATTCAAAGTCACTTCAGGATTAAGTGGAGATTGACTTACATCTGTCCTCTGTGGAATATCATCCTGTTGATGCAAATGTGAGTCCCCAGATACTGGTTCTGAAACATTTTCAGTAGGTTCTGAAACATGTTCTGGACCAACATTATGTCCTATTCCAAGGTGTTCTGATTCATCATCTTCATTTCGGAGAAGAATTCTTCTCTTCTTACTGTACACCCTTAATGGACTTGAAGACACAATCTGCTTTCTTGCTTTTTCTTTTCCTTTTCTTTCTTCTTTGTCTTTGTCGTTTTTCCTGCCAACAGATTTTGATTCTGACCGCTGAGCACCCTTTCCTCTGTCGGTACTTGCTCTTTCCTTTTTATCATCAAAATGCTTAAGATTCATCTTGGTAAGTATCTTTTCTCCAACAAACATTAAAGGAACAAAGGTTTTACACAAATCATCAGGAATAGTTATGTGTAAAAAGATAAAGATTCTAGAGATTAGTGCACCATAAGGAAGTTGGCCCTTGTCCTTTTGGAGAGTTCTGTACATGTGAAAAATGATAATGTGTGGAAGAGAGAAAGACTTTCCATTCAGAATGGCCCAAATAAGCTTGATTTCAGACTTGGACAAGTCAGTCTTGGAAGCAGCTTTAGGCCTTAAGCAATTGATAATGATCTTATGCAAGATCACAGTTCTTCTGGTCATATCAGAATATGAGATATGGCGTTTAGAGCCTCTAGCAAAATTCTGATTTTCTGAAGCCGCTTTGGAGGCATCTTCTAGGCTCACTTCTAATGGAGTAAACTTGTAATTTTTCGCTCCAATAATCAGAGCCAGATCTTCCACTTTCAAATCATACTTTTTATCACCAACAGTGAATTAAAGCCAATTTGGGGACAGAATGGAAAGATTTGAGTAAAAACAAGCAGTCAGTTCTGCATATACATGTGCAGATTGCAGACAAAATGCATAAATACCCAATCTTTCAAAAAGATGTT